GATGGTCAAAGCCTGGTTGGTCTCAGCCAAGAAAGGTAGCTACTGCACACCAGCCAGGGAAATGTTTAGCTTTTCTTATCTTTTCTTTTTGAAAGCAGGACGGTGGTTAGTCTAAGCTGGAAACTGCAGGAGAGATCATAAGTGAATAAGAATAACCCTGAATTATTCTCTTTTACAATTAGTGAAACTTGTACAGACACTGATATTCCCATCATGATATGACATCATGTAACATCTGGGATACCCTTACTTTTAATCTATGATCTCATCACAACCTCTGTAGGCTGCATGCGCTCACAGATGGTGATTATAGTAAACACATACTTTCTGTATGTTTGCTTTGTGTACTATATGCTTACTTAAGTACTGTTCTTTTCATACAGAAGCACAGATATGATCCTTTCCTCCTTCAACACATGCATATCAGCCTCACTTCTGAAAAATAACAATAATAACAAGAGTACTTAGACAGTGCAACTCCCCCAATGGAAAAGGCTACACTAAAACTTTGATGTTTTTAATCACACTGTTTTTATTACAAAATGATGACATCAGCAGTTTTTATAGATCATTTGTGCTGATGTCATTATTGTTAAAATGGAAATCTAGTATAGTATTTTTATCTTTTTGTCCCATTGTAAAGTCATATAATGTCATATTGAAATAACGGTTTGGCCTCCAGTGATTAATTTATTGCTTTAAAATCTCGAGATAAAGAAAACTAAAGCTTTTTCCCAATTTGTGTGATCCTGACTTCTGACCTTGAAGCATTACATTCCAAAATTGTGTATTTTATCATGTTTTCCCATATTATTGGAGCAGAATAGATTGAAATCTTTGGCCTCTACAGTCTATAAAAACTTATGCTTCATGCAGTGTGTAATTTTATTGCGTCACTGTGACAGTGTAGGGCGTAGTCTTGAAAACATAAATAATAAAGTGTGTTGCTCTCTCTGGTCCCTTTAATACATTATACTGAATTTCATGAACTATTTGTCTTCTTCCCCCCCCCCCAAAACTGCAATGTAACTATTAGACACACAGCACAGGTTAGCTGGTTGAGAGTAGCATGTTTTTAACTTTAAAAATGCCAAAATTTAAGAGTGTTTTAGCCAAGTTTAAGTATTTAGTAATTCCGAAACAATCTCTAAACTGTGACATTAATGAAACGTAACCTTATTAATCTTACACTGGTTTAGGGCAGCAGCGATCATGATGCAAACTGGCCCCATTGTGACCTTACAGGTTGCAAAATTTGCAGCGAGTTACCACGGCCTAGAAGCCCTGCTGAGAGAATCCACCCCAGAGAAGACTACAGGCAAGCACCAGTACACTCAAATCAAACCTCAGCTTTTTTCCCATTACTTTCTACCTTCTTTTACCTGACAAAGACCTTTTCTTGCCTCATAAGGGGAGAAAGACCACGCTAAGCCAAACAATAAAGCCTGCATAAAGTACAGCACAGAGGACCACAGTCCCTCAGAGCAGCTCCATGGAGGCAATCGAAGGAAGAAACAGCAGATAATGCAGAGGAACAGACAATTTTATCGCTCCAACCCCAACATGGCCGGTGGGCGCTCTTCTCCTGTTGTCACTTTTTGTTGCTGAGCGCTAACCGCACATATTTCTTACTGTTAAATATGCATAACATTGGAGAGCGAGTCATAATAACAGCTGCAGTACTTTTATTTTCTTCTTATTACAGCAGACTTTTGCCTGGAGGATGGCGATAAACTTGTTGACCCTTTCACAGGAAACAGCACCGCTTCTGTGTCCACTAAAAATCTTTGCTCTGATGTGAGATTATTATTAATATTATCGTTGTTGACCAATGTTTTTAACACATTTTCAGTGACTTGTCAGGCCATATACATTTAAATATTTAAGGATTCAGCGTAACACTTTTTCTTTCTTGTGGTCAGAAATTCCACTGGGAATACTTGACACTACCGAACCCTAGATCCCAGGACAGGAATGTATCTGAACCTAGCAAACCACAGCAAACTTTCCAAGTGTCTTTGAAACCTTTAGCTGGACAGAGCTCCAATAGATCTCTAAACGTCATGGTAAGTTTTGGTGTACCAAGACATTAAAAGAAATACATAAGCAAAGTCATAATAGTACAGCTAGAAAGAATTACATTAAAATCTCTTTATTTACCCCCCTCTAGCGCCAAGCCCTCTCTCAGGAGAACTTGTGTACAGACAGTGGACGCCCCCTGCTGGACAAAAGTCAGAGCAAGTGGACACAGAAGGATCAGGGTGCAAAGCAAACTGAGAACTACTGCACGTCTTTCCCTATCCGCTCTTGTCTTTCTACTCATGACATCCTCTCTGATAACAGCTCCCCCACAAATCAGCAGCAGGTCAGCCGTGTAAGCTGTGCCGGTGTCTGGAGAACCCCTTTTTCACAACACTCAACATCCACACCTTCAATCCAGCCGATACGCATCGACATCCCCCTAACAAGAGCAGCAAGCCACCAGTCAAATCCTCCACTCACTACTTTCCAGCAGAGTTCTTCGTCGCTGGCAGTGAAGATGAGCCGAACTCTTCAAATCAATGGACACAAGCAGAATCCTCAAAGCCAAGCTAGTAGTACTTCTGCATGTCCAGTATCTCCAACTAAGAAGCTACTTCAGCCCTCACTTTCATCACAAAAACTCAACACGCACAGAGATCAAGTAGCAAAACCTCAAGTGAGTATCACTCCAACAAAGCATGTTTCCTTCCAAGAACCTCCCTGTTCACAGAAAAAGAGCATAGGTCCAATGAAACAGAAAGACCCTCTGGATATGTCTGATCCTTGGAAGAGGGAAGCCCAGGAGAAGCTGGAGAAGCAGCAGAGGCTTGAAGCGGTGGAGTTCCTGCAGCAGGAGATGCAAGAGCTTCAGGCTAAAGCTAAGCGCACAGCGGAGGAGAACGACCGACTCCGAAAGCTCAACCTGGAGTGGCAGTTTCAGAAGAGGCTGCAGGAAATTCAGCAGAGAGGAGATGATGAGGATGAAGATAACGATTTGGACATGATGATGATGATACAGCAGCTAGAGAACAGCATGTCACAGGCCAAGGTTAAAGAGAAAACACACTGAAAACTTTACTTTCTGAGCCTGTTTTTTGTGTATGCTGTTCATACACTGTTAATACACAACACTGTTGGAACCTCTTCCGATTCTTATTTAGGTCACACAGCTCGTCTAATTTAAAGCTGAACACAGTGACGCCCAAAAGTTTTTGTGGTATTAAGTAAAGTGTATTAAAGGGAGCCTAGTATGGTGATTTATTCTAGGACTTTAGTAGAGAGTGTTAAGGAAAAAAATCATCTTTAAATTATTTGTTTACATACACTCTTCATGTACATAAATATCATAGCAAAATGGGGCTTTTAATGATTTCTTTGATTGGTTCTTTTTCCAGGGTGGAATGATTCAAAATACAAGAATTCGATGGACTTTATTTTGAGTTTCTCTAAACCACACGGTTTATATACCGAAGTTTAAATACAGCCTCGAGTATACATAGACTCTTAAGTTTTGATGGTGGTTCCAAGGCCTGTTAACTTCTCATTCGTCATCATGGTTGACTATAACTAGAATTTTCTCTTTGTCAGTATAAAAGGGATTTGATTGACGGCACTCGTTGGATTGATCAACGCGAAAGTCTAAAGAACTCAGTGAAGATTTAAGAAGAATTGTAGCTTTACACATGTTGGCAGGTCTTTTGGAGCCATTTCTAAGCAACTATAGAGACCAAGATCATCAGTTCAAACAAATGTTAATGAGTAAAAGAAAGATGTGTCACCACTTTGGTCTGGAAGAAGACCCAAATTGTCATATTTGGATGAAAGGAAACTGGTTAAGAAACCACCAAGGCTCAACCCAGCCATGAACTGGAAACTGCTGGAACACCAGCGTCACTGTCCACAGTGAAGCCAATTTTACATCCCTATGGATGTAAATTTCACCTCAAATCAACAGCTAGATGTTTGAAGTTTGAACAAAACTGGGTGCTCCAACAGGACAATGATCCCATATACACATAAAAATGGTTTTGGAAAGGATAACTCAGGCTAACATTAAGCTTCTGCACTGGCCTTCCCATTCCTTGACCTCAACCCCATTGAAAATCTGTGGATTAGGCTTAAAAGCCAGGTTTATGCCAGGAAGCCAGCCAGTTTCAATGAACTCTACCTATTCTGCCAAGAAGAGAGGTCAGATATGCAGCCAGATTCATGCCAGAAACGTATTGACTGAACGTGTATGGTCAAGGTGCAACTTGCTACTGGAAATTTCAATTCAAATTCAATCTTATGCACCCAATTCTTGATGTTTTAAGTCAATAAAGACGTTTGCTGTATAATCATTCTAGCCTTGGAAAAAGAACATTCCAAAGAAAAATAAATTATTAAAGAAAACATTAAAAGGTCAAAATTACCAAGAAGTTCATGTCCATAATGAACCTAACCATAACTAACGTATCTAACCATAGCTGTACATGCATACTTCTGTAATGACAAATTTATTTGTGGATACAACTAAAAAACACCCAATAATTTGCATTATTGTCTTTTATTTCCTGGTTCAGAACAACACAAGAAGCTCTAGTGGGAAGGACAAAACGGAAAAGCAGACGGGAACTCACCTCTCCAAAAAGGAAGATGAAGAAAAGAGAGGTAATCCTTAATTCACACATTAAAGAAAAGTGAATGTTGTTGTGTCAGTTTTGTTTATTCAGAAAAGTATGTGTGCATATCAGCTATGTCATTTGATTCTAACTGGGAAAATGTCCATGTTTTTGGCAGCTCAGCGATTAAGTGGATTAGCTCATGATGTTCATCAAGCAGCATCAAAAGAGTGAGTTTACACTTTTTTTGGCACACAAAGCGGAACATTAATCTAATTCAGGGGTGGGGGAACTCCAGGCCTCAAGGGCCGGTTTCCTGCAGGTTTAAGGTATGTCCTTGATCCAACACAGCTGATTTAAATGGCTAAATTACCTCCTCAACGTGTTATGAAGTTCTCCAGAGGCCTGGTAATGAACTAATCGTTTGATTCAGGTGTGTTGACCCAGGTGATATCTAAAACCTGCTGGACACCGGCCCTTGAGGCCTGGAATTCCCCATCCCTGATCTAATTTAACAGGCAGCTACTAATGCCACATTTCTTCTCAAGAAGACTTAATGATACATCTGCACACAGTGGTGCAAAATAGAACGGAATAATATCCCTGAGTAAAATAAATCTATAAAGTAAAGTCCCCTTTATAAATACATTCTAAAACAGCACAGGATGTTTTTGTTTCACCCGTATGTGATATAATTCAGGTATCTCTGATGTGATGGTTGTATTTGCAGAAACCAGGAGGAGAAAATGAAGAGAGCGTCGGCTCCTGAGAAGCTAACATTCAAGGAGCGCCAGCGTCTTTTTTCCTTGGCGTCCAGTTCATAAACAGAAAGCTCAGAAGACAAAAATGTTTAAATTTAAAAAAAAATGTAATTATTTCCTAGCATCATGACAGCATCTATTAATCAAATGTCCCAAGGGCAAAAAGTGGGTAATTTTAACACAATATTGTTCAGCACTGTTGTTCCTTCTTGTATTTTCCTATTAATAGGTAATAAAATGTTCATTTAGGAGTAGTTAAGGCACTTCTTACATCATTTTCTTATTAACAGTAACTATTTGCTGCTTCTTTTAGTGGAAGCAGTTAATCAATGTTACTTAATGCGCTGATAAAACTGCACCACTGCCTTCTCTTGTTCGTGAGTTTCAATTGAACCTTGCCGCAGTCTACGGATCTCGTTGATCGCGTCAATCCCAGAAATCTTCCTGGTCTTCACCAGGTAGCAGGCCAGCATTGTCCCTGTTCTCCCATGACCATGCATGCAGTGAACTGCCACACCCTGTAGAAAACAATACAATCATTATTTGAGTCAGTTATCTATAAAGTATCCCTGAATATTTTGGGGGTTATGGAGTATTTCTTCTAGGCTTGCTGTTCCCAGAATAGATAAATTATATTACTAATGCTATGTAATACATTTTAAAAAAAAATCTATTAACCCCCCCTCCACCCTTGGGCTCTTGGCAGAGTGTAGCACTTAGCTATGTTAGGGGAAAACCTGCAAAAGAAGACGTTTGTCTACAGGAATGAAACTTAATGTCAAATGTTTTAAGTTACAGTACTGAGGTAGCATACAACTGTTAAATGCATAACCATCCATCATGCACAGCCTGTCACCATCTGAGATCTTACCTCACCCTTGGAGTTGCCCTCTTCCACAATAGAGAGGAATCTATCAATCTGATTGGGTGAAGGAGGAGTAAAGTCAACTATCTTGATGTGGTGAAGCTGTAACTCTGGGCATGAGTCATGGTTGGGTGGTTTCCTCTCACAGAGGCAAACCAGGTGCTTGATGCCATTGTCCACCATATACCGGTATTCACATGGCATCCTGGGCATCGCCAGTCCAGCCAGTTTGCCTGGCTCCACCCAGGAGAAGTTGTGTGGAGCAAAGGAGGCCATATTCAACTGAGGAGAGGGCAGAGCATAGGTTTACTTTATAAACATTCAGTCTATATTAACAATATACGAAACAGTAAAATAAAACCATAATCTTAGTCTGAAACTGTTGATGTCACAAGTGGGATTCGAACCCTCACTTCCAGGAAAGTGTTTTTATTTATTTATTTATTTATTTTTATCGTGTCACAACCCGCCTCAAAGTGTCTCAATCGGGACACTAAAAAATGATTTGATCTTTCTGAGGATAACATGTAAACTTCACATAGATACAGATAAAGCAACAACGACTTTTACATCTTAAATATATCAGTAAACAGTCGGGAAAGAGCGCTAAAATAAGATGCCAAGAGTGACACTGTGCAGCTGTCTACTTTACGTTAGCATAATGCTATTGCCTAGGCTAGACAGTCCAGTGACTCATTGAGGGATTAGTTTAATAGGGTTACAAATGTAGCATTATACGGCACAGGTCTGGTACGGAAATACACTTCAGGCCTTACCAGACTTTACCTGTTTGTTTTCAGAGATTAGAAAAGCAAGTGACAAAAGGTAACCCCTAGCTAAACTTTAGCAATGGTATGATGAAACTAAGCACCTCGCAGATTTGTAAAGACAACTCGGGCGAGGAATTCACCCTATAGCAATTAGCTTCCCTATAGACAATGAATGTCTATTACCTGTCAAAAAGTCCTGAGAATTACTCACGGTTTACTGATGAATGCACTCTAGGGACTCTTGTTCAAACCGCCTCACCCTGTCTGTCAAGCTAGTTACTACGTTCGCCGTTAGCACGTACCGTAGACAACTTAATAGCAGCTACTTCACAATTTCGCTGATAACTACTACGATTCTACAAGAGTAAAAATGGAAAGACACGTATCTAACCAAGGCTAGATTGTGTCTGTTGCAATGCTAGGTATGACGCGCCAGGCAATCAATCAATTAGTGAGGGAAGCGGCTGTCAAGTTCTTCAATGAAAATCATCTTACTTGTTGTAATGGATATTTAGCTTCCTGCTAATGACAGAGAGGATTTCTGATTTCAGTTCAGCGCCTTCACAGTGGGATGAATTGTTGTTTTAGTAGCACAATATACAATAACACAATTATAAGTGTGCAGATTGCTATGATCGACTTTAAAAGATGGTCTAGCCATTTGTGTTTATAAGTCAGGATGGCCGAGCGGTCTAAGGCGCTGCGTTCAGGTCGCAGTCTCCCCTGGAGGCGTGGGTTCGAATCCCACTTCTGACAATAACCTTTTTACATTTTTTGATACAAGAATCTGGTTTTATTTCACCGTTTTGTTTATGATTAATGCTGACTGACTGTGAAGGTTCTCAGTCATTAATGCTGACTGACTCCTTGTTTGTGGCCCATAGAATCAACCCACACTGGCAAGCTAAAGTACTGGTTTTGATTCAGTGACCTTAATGACTCTGTTATGTAGTGTTAAGAGACATGGATTTTTTATGTTAAATCTAGCTAGTCTACAACTTTTTATTTTACATTTTAAATGCAAATAATAATGATTTAAAATGAAAATTAGGAAAACCTAAATGTAATTCGTGCAGTTGCACTTTCAGTACCTGCAGAGGGCAGCAAAATAGCTACACTGTTACCATTTTTAAAAAGTAAATGTCCTTTAAAGTTGCCAAACACACTGCTGGAGCCATTTTAATGAACTTGTGTTGCACTTCTCAAACTTTATTTTAAACTGTGGTGTAGATGTCAAAGTTTGGGATGCCAAATATTACAAAGAAATATTTCTAAAGTCGTTTTTTCATGAGAGTAAATGTTCTCTTATGAAACCGGTGTCAGCTTGCAGATGTGATGATGTTTCCAGAGGTTCTTAGTTAATATATATGATTACAAGCAATGTGGAAAAAATAATCTCACAGATCCGCTGCCTACTGCATTTAGCAGTATCATGTATAATCGAGAGATGTGCTCATTGAGTCTGCATTGAATCATTCTTGTTTTAATATTTACTTTTGTCACCTCCAGAATGAGAGTGCCTATTTTATACAACCTCCACATGAAAGGAAAGTGAGAAGATCATTTGACTGTTTCATGCAATAGTTAATGATACAAACACAAACATTCAGAACTCACAGCACGGCACAGTTTACTTGCTAGTCATTTCATACAAATAGTAGAAAGAGGGTTTGTATCTGAAGGAGACAAACTGCATCACATGTGCCAGACAGGCTAGATGTTGATACACAGAGACTGATTTTCAGAAAGGTAAAGGTGTAAATAGTCACAGAGTTGAATGTGTCAGACATCCCATTAAAAAAAGTTTTCACTAACCTGTTGGTGTTAAAAAAAAATAAAAAATAAAAGACTTCAGTAATCACGTAGTTATAGAAAGATATTTAGGTAAAGTTGGAATAAACACAAAATAAACAACTTAAAAAAAACATTCCAATATACAGGTGGCGTCTAGTGGTAGGCGTAGTTGTTTTTTTTTTGCTTTCCTACAGAGCTCAACCAACCCTTAAACCACTGAACAAAACATCTGGAAGTCCCAAAAGAACCACATCCATATTTTTCTCATTTTATCTATTTTTTGTTGTTACACATCACAACCCGACGACATGGTAGGTTGACTGCTTGTCCATCATGTCTCTAGGTGGTTATCATCACACTCCTCCTCCTCATCATCATCATCCCTTTTGTGTCATCTAAAAGCGCAGAACCCTTCAACATGCCGCACAGCCCCTCAAAAACAATTGCCCCGCTTTAATGGTTACACTTTAATTTTTGCACTCTTTAGGTGCCGTTCGAGAAAAGGGGGCAATGATCGACGTGCCCTCCTACTAGAAGATTTCTATGTGTTTTGAACGTCCATGTTCAAAGTCCCCACACTTAGCAGACTGCTGCAGGGACGTGCCGAGTTTACAAGATGGCACAGAAGAACTTCTTCTCCCTGAACGGGTTCTCCGACGCTGGCACCGGCGACAATAAAGGGTCCTCTTTGGCATGAGCTTCGCAGTATGACATCAAGTCTGCTGCAGCTTTAGACACCTGCAGTTACAAACACACACACACGCACACAAGTGTATCAGTTCAAGTTGGCGTGCACAGTGTGGAAATACACCAGTCCAATTTAATTCATAGAGTTAAATCAGAAGGCGATGCTTGTCTTTTATCTGGATTTCAAATGCATAGCAGCAAGCAGGAGCTAGATCCTGGTTAGCTTAGCTTTACCAAAGTACCCCTAGAAGTAAGTCTCACCTCTTAGCACTACTTTAAAAGTCACAATATTTCATCAATAATTCTCACAAACTACCACCCTCATCATGTGACTTGCTCTGGCAATGCCTAATGTTAAATTTCGTTAAGTTAACCAAATAAATCATCTAATCATTCTGATCTTACACATCTATGGAAGCCCGTTTCTGCCACTACAAAAAAAAAAAAAAAGTATCCATAACTCGTTCTCGAAATTTTGACTTATTTTCTCGAAATTTGGACTTATTAACTCCAAATTTTGAGAAAATAACTCGTAATTTCGAGTTAATAAGTCAAAATGTCAAGAACGATACTTTTTTTTTTTAAGTGGCAGAAACAGGCTTCCAAACACATCTGTACATATAATACTGTGCAAAAGTTTCAAGCTGGCCCCCATTTCTTCATGTTTTCAAATAAAAATGGGAAACAGTATATGTAGAGTATATAAATCCAAAACCTGTCACTATTTGATCCGACCACCTTTATGCTACAGTACAGCCTGAACTCTCTTAGGTGAGCTTTCTAGTCTTTAAGGTCTTCAGGAATAGTCTCCAGGTTTCTTGAAGGACACTCAAAGCTCTTCTTTGGATGTTGGCTGGCTTTTTGTTCCATTGTCTGTCAAGATGATCTCACATCTAGCTCTAGGTCTGGGCTGTGGGGAGGCCTGCCCATGACTCATAGTGTTCCACTGTGTGTTCTTCTATCCAGGTATGCTTTTACTGACAGTGTGTTTGGGGCTTCTTGATTCCACCCTTCCAATTGAGGCCATTTCCAATGAGGCTTCAGGGACTATTAAATGGAAGCTCCTCATACATCTCTCAGGTCCTGTTCCAGAACTTTGGTGATTTTTTTCCTCTATTTCTTAGGGACATGACTTTCATATACTCCTCATTTGCTGTAGCTAGTTTTTTAGGCCACCTCTTTTTTTGTCCTCCACTTATCCCGTTTTCTCACATTTTTAAGGACACACTGCACACCATGCTGAGAAACGCCACGTTTTCAGCTAATAGCTGTTTGGGGATCACCTTGTTGGTGAAAGTCCAGCTCATTCACCAAAATATAAAGACATGGGAGTTGACTGAAGACTTTTGCACAGTACTGTAAATCAGAAAAGTAATAATAAAGTCATGTGCGACAGCTGCGTTTGTCTGTTTTTATGACCGTAACAGTGATTGCTGCTCTCTTTGTAAGTACAGTTTGTTCTTAATAGGCTTGCCATTGCCAGTGTGTGAATGTATGTGTGTGAATGGGTGAATGACTGAATGTAGTGTAAAGCGCTTTGGAGTCCTTAGGGACTGAGTAAAGCACTATACAAATGCAGGCCATTTACCATTTACCATTTTTACTTGGATACATTAGCAAAAATTAAAAGTAAATGAAGTATTCATTGCTATTGTTTACCTCCATTAGCTCTGTAAACTTTTAAGCCCAATTGTAAACAAACACATGTAAGTTAACGGACGGAAACCTAATTAAAAACATAAACCACGAGGTGCCAGCGCACCTTTATCCTGTCGATGTTGGCTTCCATCTTCAGCTGTTCCACCAGCTTCCTGGCTTGTGCGATGCTGGCCGTGTTATTGCTCGCCATGGGCGCTATCAGTCAGGCCTCGCGTGCTCTGTCTGCCTGTAGCAGAAAGAGATTTAAACATCCCAAACATTTCAGCTCAGAGACGAGCACTATAATATAGTGCAGGGGTAGGCGACTCCAGGCCTCAAGGGCCGGTGTCCTGCAGGTTTTAAAAGTTTTCTTGATCTAACACAGCTGATTCAAATTGCTAAATTACCTCCTCAACATGTCTTGAAGTTCTCCAGAGGACTGGTAACGAACTAATCATTTGATCCAGTTGTGTTGACCCAGGGTAAGAGCTAAAACCTGCAGGACACCGGCACTCGAGGCCTGGAGTTGCCTACCCCGGATATAGTGTAACAGGCATGCAGAGAGGAGTGCTAGTAACAGATACCCTGTTTATTATCACATGCCTACAGACACACAAACCACAGACACAAGCATATTATTTATGGTGTCAGTTGCTAGGCAGCCCCTGACAGTAAGAGAGGGAGGCGGGGGAGGTGGGAGGGGAGTGTGGGGGTGGCGCTTTGTCCGGTACTAAATTTCAAAAAAGATAAACGGATAAGAAACATTAGAGGTTTCAGAAAGGAAAAGCTCTCATTATGCGCAATATTTTTCGTTTTTTTTAAACATATGTGGTGATACTCAGTCACAGTGTCACACAAGAGCACAGCGTCTGTCTCTGCCTTATATGTAGGACAATTCATGAAAAACATGGTGTGCAGCCATGAAAATTAACTACATTTCATTTGAGGTTTTGATTGTTTTCAACATAACAGGATATTTATTCTGTGAAAAAGGAAGCAACCTGGCCTCAGAAGCTATTATTGCCCCGTTTAAGCAGACATACGCTTGCTGAAACTGGACTTTTCCTCCATATAAAAGTTGCAAGATGTTAAATTAAATGCAAACTTTTTTACATGACCTTTGTTTGAGTATATTACCTCTATCTGCAGGTAGTCTTGCTTACTCTCATAGTGCATAGAAAGTTGGCTGGCGATTCTAAATTGGCTATAAGTGTGAGTGGTGGTTTTTTTTCCTCCTTTGACAGCCCTATGGCAGCCAGTAGACCTGGTGTACTGAAGGGTAAAGCAGGTATACTTAAAGAATGGATGGGCAGAGGCTCATAAAATATCTACTTATTCAAATATCTTTAGGAAGATAGCAATTTTTAATACACATATTTTTTCTCTCAACTGTAGCCACTGTATTGAGTTATTAAAACTGTTCAAATGCTTAATGGGCTTCTTGCAGATCAAACAAATAACAACTGCCTCCTTGGAGAAGCTTCAATGCTCCTCAAGTTCTCTCTGGAACGCCTTTGAAGGTGCACATTTCTTGCCACTCTAGGTGATTAAATATTGGTGGAAAATACTTCCCAACGTGCTCACAGGTCTTTACATGCGATGAAACTGTTCAGCGTCTTCATTATGTTTCTCCAACTATTTATTCTTTACATTTGTCACCGTGTCCTGAGGGCCTCCCCTGAGTTCTCCAGCTGCTTTGATTAAATGGATCAAGCCCTCCAAAACGGCTTCATCCTCGGTGTGCGATCAATCATCGCTGGAGCCCCCCTTCGCTATTCATCTGTGCACGCTGTGGTACGACTCAGCGTGGGTTCAGCACTCATCTCAGTGAGGTGCTGGAGCAAATCATAAACATTAACGCTCTGCGGTGGCACATCTGCTCCTCAGCACAGGTTCACGGGTTAATTCCATGTTATATTTGCAATGCTTTAAAGATCGATTGTACTCAAATGAAGCAGAGAATTTAACTTTAAAGCGTTCTTAAATGATTTACAGATGAAAAGAAATATCATGATTAAAAAGTACTACAGTGATCTCAGAATCAGAATACTTTATTAATCCCTAGGGGAAATTATTTTTCGTTACAGTGCTCCATTTAATCTATTTAATCTTTGGAGTAACCCTAAAATAAATGGGATAAAAACTGTAAAGCATCATGCACAAGAAGCTCCAACTGGCTTGTTTTTGTAATTTTTGCATAAGCTGAAACAATAAAATTGAAACCAATACAATGTAGAAGATTAATTATCAACACAAAGGTTAAACATTTTGAGGACAGGAAGAGTATTTTTTCATTTTCCATTTTCCCCCTCCTCTAACCTAAGCTGGAACATCTCTGCACGATGTCAGCGCAAACCAAATGACAACGTGTACACGATCCGTGAGAACAGCCCGCAGCAGGCTCAAAGCGCGAGGAGTGGAACATAAACACGATGGTTTATAGCCACTGCAGCTGAGGGATCCTGGATGTTCTCAGTTTGAGGAGAACGTCACCTTGTAGGGTCATGGTGTGCCAAAAAACGCCCAACATCCATTATGAGGTTGCTAATCAACTCTGTTAGCTTTTTAAAAGCCCTTAAAGCAAACTTCGTTTTCGTCCCTCGCCAAAATAAAAATAGGACAGAGAGTTATGATCGCTGAACAGAAATTAGTCTTTAGTGTCGTTTATATCAAGGCCACAATATTGTTTCAACACCCCTGGGAGACGTCAAAACAGGCCACCGTATCATCAGACTATTGATAGGGATAAATGTCACTCTGTAAGGTTTCTGGGATACGTGAAGAAAAGTAGGTCTTCCATTTTAACACATGCCCAAAAAAAAAAAAGAGGCACAATAGCCTATTTTAAGAAAATTGTCAAGGAGAGTTGATGTTTTGAATAAACGCTGTATTAAATATGGAAGAAGCTAAATGATCAAAGTCAAGTCCCCTTTTGTAATTTCTCAGTTTTTACATCTTCCTCCTGTCCTTGCATCCTCCCCTTGTGTCTTAGTTCACGTGAAGAGATGTGAGAAGATGAGGGAGAGACACGAGGCGAGAGGACTGCAGGTATCAGGCGTTTAACACGATGAGGCTTCGTGTCAACTAAATATGATGTTTGGCACAGATACATCATAAATTGTTTCGTTACAGCCCAACTACTGATGAGCGTAACAGTGTTCACGCCAGCTTTTATAATTAGGTCTGCGTTTAATTAAATTCACCACATGCCGCATTGTGACGAGATATCGTACCTAGAGTCCCCGGAGTCCCTCTGTATTTTGTGTATTCCATCTGTGTGCCACGCTTACTTTATAAATACAGGCTAAAAACACTAGTGCAGGGGAGGCCTTCTCTTGTCCTCCAGATACATTTTAATAGCTGAGACATCCTTTAAATGGCACTCCGAGTTTAATTTTCAGGTCACAGGGAGGAGAACAGAGGAGACTACGAGGCAGAAATCTGAGAAATGTAAAAAGTTTCACTTTTTATTTTACCCACTAAGCTCTATGATAATAAAAGAAATGGAGGCCACACGTAAATTAACTGCCACTCTGGTTATTTACAGTTTTGGCAGATGTAAGGCAGGAATTTCCCCGCTTTAGAGCTAAATAAAGTATACAGTCATGTGGAAAATAATTCTTTACTACACTTTATATAGTCATGTGAGAAACTAAGCTTGTAAACTCGCCTTTAGCGGGAAGTAAACATCTTCTTAAAAGTCTTTTAATATTTGGCTCACTCTTCTTCACGGTATTGCTTCAGTCCTTTGAGGTTTGTGGGCACTCGCTGATGCACAGCTCTCAGCATTTCAACTGGCTTGTGGTCTGAGCTTTGACTGGTCCACTGCAAGCACCTTGGTTGTTGTCTTTTTATAGACATACTTGTCTTTTTCTAATTGCACTTGCATGAACTTCAACATTTAACATGTTAACTGAGGCCTGTAGAGTCTGAGTTTTTCCGAGGATTGCACAGCCTGACCTTTGCAGGAATGTTGACTCCTGGGAAGATTGTAGTATCATATTAACATGCACCTAAATGCTCAAGACTAGCAAACTATCAAAAAGATTGAATTAGTTAATAAGTAAGTGCTCTTTATTCATATGGAAGCAGTAAGGGTGTAGTTAATTAATCAAAGGGCTATATTTCATCTCATCAAAGTTAATTTAACACATTGCTAAGGGATGAAACAAAAAAAGCTACATTGCTCGCTTGGCTAAAAATGGCAAAAACATCTCCAAATGACACTAAAGTTAAAGCATGAATGTGGAAAACAGAGAATAAAGAGAAAAACAAAAAAGTAAGAAGCAATTGGGCAGAGCTTTCACTGAGGCTGCAAGGTCACTTTCCTGTTCATTACTGTTGGAGCGTGCAAAAATGCCACCCTGACATTTTCATATCTGCTAAAGGAGGGCGGGGTGATGGTGACATGTAGCAGATGCACACTTTTCCTTCCTTCCTTCCAACCTAATTTCCTTTCCTTTCTGCTAGCTGCTTAAAATACCATTCTGAGATGTTGCGTCTGGTGTCATCATCCCGATAAGTGTGACACTGATAAATAATGCATTCAGATGGACAGAGGCCTTAACCGTGTAAGCTGTCGACAACTTTATGGCAGCTGTCACGATTAGTTCACAAACTCTTTGCAGCAGCAGCAGCAAGAGGGCTGTGTCATCACCGTGCCCTTGTGATGGCATCAGCCACACAGGGGTAAATCAGTCCATTTTTTCACTTTATTAGTTTGCTTTGCAGTTTTCTTCATTAATAGAATTTATTAATCATTTGGTTAAACCTAACACTGATATTATGAGGCGCGCACATAGTAGCATTGTGTGGTTTTTCTAAAATGTTTTGTTATATTAATTATGTTTCTCTTTCTTTGAGTTACCTGGGTTTTGGCGGTGGATGTTTCCTGGCTGGGCAAAAGGCGTGGTTGAGGACTCTGGGAACAAAATGCCTGCTCAGCAGGACCAACCGTGGGCTTACCAGGAGCAGGCGTGTTTTAGGTTTAGTTAGGTTATTCTGTGCTTAGTTAATATTAGGATGTATTTTTGTTTCCCCCCTATTGTGTGTAAATGTTTTGGCCAAATCATTATAAAAGCTACCCTCATGTGTTTTTGTAATTAGGTCAATTTGTGAGTTAAGTTGTGTCTCACTTTGTTTTGTTTAAGTTTCTGGAAATTACTTTTCGTAGAGTTATATTTAGCTGACCTCTTTTATGGGCCTGCTAAGTATGTTTTTGAGGGTTAAAATAAAGAAAACCCTTTTTGAAGATACTTTTTTGCCTGTGTCCTCTTTGCTTTGGCTGCTTGATCCCTCACAGCCCTCATGCCACAAGATTGAGAAAGATGTCGCCATGCGTCTTTTCTCGTCAACCTTCTTCCTCTCGCCTGGACGTACCTTGTCTACTTACTCCTCCGCGCTCTGCCCTGGTGCGCGTCTGCAGTTCAGTCAGCAGTTTGTGTCTGCCACACTCTCTGCAAACAAGGAGAAGGAAAGAGAAGGGGAGTGAGAATCGGAATCAGAGCTCTGCATGCTTTCAATCCCACATTCCAGATAAATTACGCCAAGGCATGTCTGTGCAGCCTCTGTCCTCTGATCACTGTGTGTCAGAATGTCACAGATAGCTCCTACAAACTGGGCTAAAGACAAATAACTGATGGAGAAACAGCGCACCACAGCACAAGTGTGACAAGGCAAAGTCATTTATACTTTTAAAAGAAATATGCTTGAGAGAAAGATGAGAGGATGATTTTTCAACAGCTAGTTAGGCTATCTCAAAGATAGGGCAGGGACAAGGTAACGTAATCTGCCTGTAGCGCCACCAAAACTCATCAGTTAATGTTTGATCCCATTTGTTGATGCCATACAAAGTTTAGTGTTGAAGGGGTTAAATGTGTGACTATTTTGTAGCCAGATCCTTAATTATAAGCACAAGTCAAACTTTTACGAGTCTGTCCAGGCTCATAAAAATGCGTGCCACGAAGGATGTCACCAATGTCCTGAGAGATATGGGACTTTGTCATTGATTTAAGGTGAATTTACTCAAAAATATGTCGCCATTTCACACTAATGTCTGATGCATTCAAACGATGACAGTGTGTGCCAAAGCTGAAGAAATTCCTTCAAGGTATTCCATAGTATAATGTGGATAATTTGGCATTTGTGATATTGCATTTGTGTCATTTGCATAGGTGATTTGCTCTGCAGAGTGAAGGTTTATGGGTACACAACCTATGCATGACATGCTTGCATGTGGTCCTCCATAAAAACCAACACTGGGTAGCCTGACTGAGATGACGCTGTGTGTAACTCAAGTGCGGATTTTGTAAAGTTGCCCAGAACAGGAAAGGAATTGCAGTGGAGTCCACAACACAGAGGGAGCAGGGTGGAAAAAAACCTTAAAGAAGAAAAGAAAATAGCTACAGTGGACAGTTTTTATTGTTTTAAACACTTGGTTTCACTTTAGCCTTTTGTATGTTATAACTTTGCTTTTCCCCAGACCAGTTGTTCCATGAACTATGCTGGTCCCTTAACTTGGAAACAGCTACCTCTGTTGCAAACATACTAATCCTCAGACTAAACTTAAAATGTTTTCATCACGATAAGAAGGCTGATCGTTCTTCTGTCTATGCAATAAATATGTACAACAGAGATCAGCTGTTTACCCTAGCTTAGCATAAAGAGGTTTTACAGGCTTTCAGGAAGACATATGGAATATAAAGTGCTGTGTAGTGAGATTTAGATGTGCTGGTAGAACAGAAATAGCCTAGTTATTTGTCCTCATTTGCAGTCTTTACACTAAACAAAGCAACAGTGCTAGCGGTCCTCCCATCTAACTCTCAGCAAAACCACAAATAGTGACACTTGTAAAAATGTCCAACTCTTCCTTTAAGTCTTCAGTGGGTGCTGACCCTAACTTTCTCTCTATCAGCCTGTCCTTTCTTCTTCTGGCCATTCAGATTCATTCTTTAATGCATCTGTGACTCTGCATCTCAGTTCTAATAAATGGGCCAATTATCCCGCATGAGCAGATCTGCAGAGGATGGGAATTCCTGCCATCATAAATCATGGTAGCACACAGCGCGCAACATTAAAGCAACGTTACAATGAGGAATCCATTAACAAAACCTTGCCAACAGCTGCAGGACCCCTGAGCCAAAGTATTTTAGCAATGCTGAAGCTGCTTGGAGTTTAAATAACAAGCAAAAAGAAAGAGGACTCTTGCAGTCTTGGAGTTCACTGTAGCCCCTCCAGATTCACTGGTGGTGCCATTAATCTACATTGTTACACTGTGTTATGCAAGCGTCTATAATAATCTCATCTGTGCAGTGATTCTTAAACTAGCAGCAGGAGAGCTGTAGCAGGTGTGAAGTGTGTAACGGGATGGTCTTGTAAAATCTCTTAACGGGAGATTTTATTTAGTTCTTGATGGCAAAGAAAAAGTTTCTTTGATACTCCACTAAAAAAGTCAAATGCTGCTGCACTTTCAGAGCAGCAGTCGAAGAACAGTGATGTTTAAGAAGCCAGTTTGATTTGAGCTTTGTGACAGTGTATTATTTTGCTGAAAGAAGCCACCAGAAGATGGGGATGAACGGCCTGGTCAGCGGCAGGCGGCAGCATTTAAATGATGCTCAGTTGGTACGAAGAGGTCCAAAGTGTGCCAAGAAAATGTTCCCCATGGTTCAGGCTACCGGGGCCATCACCAACAGCCTCAGCCGCTGATATAAAGCAGAATGAATCCATGTTTTCATCTTGTTTATGCCAAATTCTGCCATCTGAATATCGTAGCAGAAATGAAAACTCTTCAGACCAGGCGATATTTTTCCAGTCGTCCATCATCCAATTTTAGTGAGCCTGTGCAAACTGTAGCCTTATTTTTCTATTCTTAGCTGACAGGAGCGGCACTTAGTGTGCTCTGCTGTAGTACATCTGCTTCAACGTTCATGCGTTTTGCATTCAGAGATGCAAACAGTACCTGTTGCCTTGATATAAGCTCAAAGTAGTCTGGCCATTCTCCTCTGACCTCTGAGACCAACAAGGCATTTTTGCCCAGTTAACTTCTGCTCACAGAATCTTTTCTTTTTTTTGGATCACTTTGTGTGAACTCAGAGATGGTTGTGTGGGAAAATCCCAGTAGAGCAGCAGTTTCTAAAACACTCAGACCAGCTCATGTTCAAAGGTACAAAAATCATCTTTCTTCCTCGTTCTGATGTTCAGCTTAAACTTCATCATCTCGACCATGTCTACACGCCTTAATGCATTAAGTTGCTGCCATGTGATTGGCTGATTAGATGTTTGCATTATGGAGCAGTTGAACAGGTGTACCCAATGAACTGGCCTGTGAGTTTATTTGCTGTGTGTATCACCCAGTTATTCTAACTTATAACTGTTATTGACATTACACAATGGCAGAGTCACATGACTAGTAACATGCGACTGTGTCATCATAAGTTTTATTTATATAGAACACATGTTTGCTCACAGAAACATCCGGCTTGTCAATCAAAAGAATCGCTTTTACATCCGGGAACTTTCCAGCAATCATCTTCTGTCGGCTGCTGCTGGGATCGAGAGCAACATGAAAGTAAAGTTTTATAAACACTGAATTTGCAAGAAATTAAACAGCTAGTTTAGCAGTCTGCTACCCTCCAAACAAAGTTTGTGATTAACGTTAAAAAAAAACCCAGACCAATGTTTTTTTCCCAACTAGGCCAATTATGACAGTTTTTAAAACATAGCTGTATTTGTGTGTGATCTTCTCTACAATAAGACTTATTATTGCAGCCAGAAGAGTCGCCCCCTGTTGCCCATTAAGAGAATGAGGCGCTTCTGAATGTACTTCACCTGTCGGGCCTGGAGGTGACAATAAACTTTTAAAAGTGTGGGACATAAATTACGCTTCAAACAACATTACCGTGTATTTTAGACAACTTTTCCAGCCATATAATGTTGCCATTTTAATCAAGTGCCTCCAATGTTGCATGGTAACTGAAAGGTAGCTAGTTTGATCCCACCCAGGTCGGACATCAGGAAATAAAACACATTCTGTGGGGAAACAAACACTTCTTGTGAGTTTGAAAATAAACACTCATCTCATTTACTATAGAAAAGAGACAAAGTGTCTTTTTTATAGTAATGGCTGCACTAACTTTGGTAATTTCCTGCTTATTTTAATTCACTTTATGCTGTGGGAAAGTCAGGAAAGCCAGCCATTCTTAAAAAAGAAAAGAAAAAAGTTGCTGAATTTGTTTTCCTGGTGAACAGATTATGTCGTCATATTAATGTTGCAAAGCAGCAGCGAGATCAGTGGATGAAAGACAAAGGGTGTTAAAATACTTAAGTCCAAGGAATTTGTTTTTTTATCTAAATACTTGGAAATATCGTTCCTTACTTTTAGACCAGTAAAGAATTTCTAGCTAAACTAAACAAATGCAACATGTGAGTGGTGATCCATTTCTCTCCTTTGTTCCAGCCTTCTGCTTCCCGTCCCTCCCTGTATGGCAGACAGGTGTTCACCGATATGACAGAACCACCCCCAGCATGCTCTGTCCTGCTTCTAACACCACAGAATCAATCTAACCCCTTCTGCCATCCTTCCCCTGACATTTGGAGCTTTTTTGAACCTCTTCCTACAGGCTTTCGGGGGGTCTGTGTTTGTGACGAGGCCCTCCATAGATGTGATTATAGCTGCTGCTCGACTCTGGGTGTCGCTGACTTAAAGGGTGATTAAGCGCCACAGGAAACATCCTGGTGAGGAAAATATAATTCCTGGCCTGTCGAGAGTGACGATCTCTTACGTACTCCCACGCAGGCTGGCTCTCGGCTCAGTTCTCCTTCCCTTTTTCCAACTCCTTTCACTTCTGTAGTGCACACCTTATTTATCCTGTCTTTTATTCCATACACCATCCAAAGAGAGAAATTTAAGCAGCGACGCAGGGAGTGTTCTGTCCTCTGTGATGCCTAGGGTGTGAAATCAGAGCGTGGTAATTAAAAATGTGTCCCTGGCTCAGCCATCTGGACCCTGGAGAGAGTCAGTGATTAACCTGCAAGGGTCTGCAGGGACAGCAAGAAGGCAGGAAGTAACCCCTGCTCAGAGCTCATTTGAAGGTCTCTTAAGGCCTGTCTTTACAAGAATGCAAACAGCACACCTTCCTCAAAGCCCCCTTACTTATTGTTGCTGTTACATTTAAGTTACACTCATAAACCCAGCAGATTTACTACAAATTCTTGGTTATTTCCGAAGAAAAGTTTTTTGTAGTTTTTCTTTTAAAAAAAGTAAAAGTTTCTCTTCCCTAGTAGACAAATTGGCATTTAATTTTGCCTTTTTCAAACTGACAGATTTGGGGTGAAAAATGTAGATTCCCCAACGAGTTCATGAGTGATTGCTGGACTTTGTTGGCTGTTGCCAAGTGAAAAGAGGGTTCTGCATTAAAAACCTCCTTCTGATTGCTCTGGTCATTAGCAGATTGCTGCACTTGTCTGCATGAAAGATGCAGACTTGTCTGTAAACACTGTATTTTGCTAGTGTTTGCAGACAAGTTGGTGTCATCCATACAAACCTCGATGGCAACTAGCAACCCAGAAGTCACACAGGGTTTTCTGTGCAGTCCTGGTTAACTATGTGCCGGCCAGAGGGCTGAAATCCACCCTATCCTCCCTGGCATATTGCATCCTACAAAAAACTATCTGTATACCTCGCTACAAATGACGGTATGCAATAAAATGTTATTTCTTTTCATATTAATCAAGCTGAGCTTATAGCATCCTGAGAGAAGTATTTGCAATCCTTCCCATCGAGTCAGTATTTCATGCTTTCCTACCAAACAAAACCAATCCTAAACCTGGCTGCGGATTTTTTAACAATGTAGTTTTTCCATTTATTTCTGTAGCCTTGTGTGAGTGTGCAGAAGAAAAAGTGTGCAAAAACTTCAGTCATCTGACTCTCATAGTATGACAGAGTAACTGTACCATCCTCAATGCGTCATAGGACACTGAGCTGCGATGTCACTGGGGAACTAAAGACAGCAAAGGGCACACTCAGCTAAAGAAAGATTTGCAGAAGTGTAAACGGATACTAGAGGACACCAAGAAAGAGAGAGAAAAGCAAATAAAAGCTGGAAATAAAGTTTGTTGGAAAAATGAAAGAGAGGATGTGGTAGCAATACCTTCTTCCAGAGTGGCTTTGACCGCAGCAAGGAGAAGTACAGAAACATAAAACTGACCTCCGGAGTTATTAATGAACACAATCAGGAAGATATTGACTGTTGACTGTAATTTAGCACGGATCCCTGCCCTTGAACAGGAGAAAGGACGCCCCTCCCTCTGCACGCAAAGACGAAGCGATGAGACACAGAGAGCTGAACTGTCAGGTCATAACTGTCTGTGGAGATGATGCTGAGTGCGACAGCTGAATGCCCTTCTCCATCATAGTCTTCAGTTATACTGGGCTCTGAGCAGCATCATATTAGTAGAAGAAATAAAGAACATTTGGAGGTTTGATCACAAACCGGCCCATTCAAGAGGCCTATCCCTCACTGATAAGCCTGAAAACACAAAGAAATGAAAACATAGTGCAAGTTAATATCTGTACTAGCTAACTGAACATGCACTGACTGAAAAACGTGTGAAAACATCGCGGGAAAATCTCATGTGAGCCACCAGAGTTGCGTATTTAGTACTAAAAGAGCGCCTCAGTGCTGTGGATCTATATTGTGTGTGGGAGGGAGGCTTGTGGTTGCGTTTCATTCATGATTTATGAAAAAAACACAATCCCCATTCAATATCTCTAAAGCCATTGCTTTTTAATATAGCACTGTAAAGCGAATTCACTAAGAAATAGAAAAGGATCTAAATGTTTCTTTCAAATCTTCATCATTTAAAAAACAAAAACATGTAAGATTAAAACATTTTAGCTGCTAATTTAATCATTGAACCATTTAAAGGGCTAGCAAGCACGCAGCTGTAAATCTGTTTTATTGATTCAGTCACAAAAGCCGTTTTTAGAATCTGTGTCAAGTGAAATAAATATTCATGATGACGATGATGATGATGATCATCAGGCTAATTTTTCCCCCAGCATTGTTTTAATTTTGGCACGTATTAGCTGCTTCGTGCTCCCTCCTCGTGCCACTTCCTCCCAGTCAGACCACCACCACCCACGATCATTCAATGAGCCTGGACATCTGTGCCACCCCCAGGACGCCCTGCCCATCTTACCATCTCAGAGGCTGTGTGTGTACATATACTGTATACATGTGTAGTGGGGGTAATCTAGGTCCCTGAGGGGGGAGGGGAGAAAGCAGTGGCCCAGGAAATGACGCATCCGCTGGGAGTCAAGGAGGCAGCAGGGAGGAGGCTTCTTTTGCTCCAGGGAGTGCAAATATGGTCTTTTATGTTTATTAAATCAAACAGCCAAGGTCCTGTGTGTTTTTGCATTGTCAGATTGAAACAGTGACCAAGTGGTTTGGCTTTTCCTCAAACGTAAAGCATTTTAAACCTTTGATTTGCGTGTTTCATAACAGCAGTGCAGTTAGTGGGATAGAAACAATGCACTGGCGCTCACGGGAACAGCCTCTGAGCTTCAGGAGCAAACACAAAGAAAAAAACCCAATTCTTTTTTCTTTGGGGGGGTCATCAGCCAAATAATGCTGCTGATTTTTGTGAAGGTTTTTGGGGGGTAATCACGTCTTTTACTTGGAATGAAACAGTGTGGTCGCATCTTTTGTGTACGTCAGTTTCTGTTCTCCGTGATTTCATTGACGGGAATCTGAAGGAGTTTCGTCCTCGCTCATGGCAGCACAAACACATTTTTCCTCTGAAATTAATCAGCATGCAAGAGAATAACACAGCCAGATTCCTGGGCTGTTAACAATATCACAAACATTCGGGCTTGTGTGGATTCTGCTGAGGGACCATCACAGACGCTCACTGGGCTTCTGGTCTTTCTGATCAGCTTTTACAAACTAAAAGCCTGGAAACTAAACACTTCTGATTGATTTGGACTCGAGTCAGACTTGCTGTAAATTTTATTTAAACACATCTCTGTGAGATTAATCAGTTAAGAGAGACTTTAAACTTATATGACAGCTATGAGAGGTGACAGGCCTGAGACTTTTCCTCCTGCAGTGACCTCTGCCGTGGCTTTAGCCTTTGCTGGATTTGCTCCAGGAGACCTAAAAACTGCTCCTGTGAACTTGAAACTCGAGGATTTGAGTTGGATTGGATAAGACTTGCATCTGGTAGATCCGGCTCACACTTAATTCACAAAAATAAAAATGTAAATAACAATGTTTTTTTCATTGGAATCAGTGGTCTGCTGGGAAAACTCAGGCCGTATCCTGCGCTAGGGTGGATATGTGACATCTAACACCCACCCAACCACAAATCTATAGAAATAACGCTCCCCAATGGCAGCAGCGGTACAACAATGCCACAAAAGTGTGTGACAGCTATGTGACTTGACTCCGAATACTTTCCCCACAACTTATTGTCTAGATGCGTACTTTAAGAGGGTTAAAGTTATATCGCCACAGCCACACGCCAGTGAAAATGACTATAAGCAAAATAACAATTAGCAGTGGACAATGAAGACATAACAACTCAAACTACTCTGTTTTCAGGCAGTTAGTCGACCGTATCGACCGGCTGCCCGCTGCACAGCTACGCATGGTGGACATTTCTCTTTATATGCAGATTGTAAAAATTAGGTCTTGAGTTTAGACTGTAAAAAAACAATTAAAGTCTAGTGACTTGGCTTGAGCTTTGTTTCGAAGACTCATGACTTGATTTCCTCTTTACCTAAATGACAGCTGAGAACACAGCACAGTCGAATGAGCTTAAAAACCAAAATCAACACTGTTAGAAGCAAACAAGCGCTTTGAGTACAAAGGTCAAAGCCTTTAATTCAACATAATTCCCACCTCATGTTTGCTTTTCCTATGAAGTCACTTCTGCTCACATCTTAAATAAGGAAACTGACACACAGATGACAAGGCTAACTGTAGTTTCTCACTTTACCCTGAAACAGAATCATTTTTGGGCGGAGGTTCTGAAAGGAGCAGGGAGAGGTCACCGTGCTCAGCAAGTCGTGCACCGCTCAGTTCCCCTTACTCTTTTTCAGTCGTTCCTCCCTTACTGCCTTCGCTTTCTATTTACAGACTCGGCACTGGGGTTCTGGAAAACACTCAAGGTTTTGTGAGGCATTGTGAGCCGCTCTTTTAGTCTCAACATCGATGCAGCTGATGTGGCCTCGGAGCAGTTCCTCTTTGAGATACAGTACGACCTGCCTGGACGCGAGCTCTTGCGTAATTCCAGCTCGCATTTGTAATAGGCCTGGATATGTAACACAATTGCATGCACATGATTTGGTGATTTAACGTGAGCTGTGCATGACGATGCCTTTGTGTGACGGGCTAAGACCGGGGAAAAACAGCGCATCTGTGTTTGTTTTCTTGCACTTCTTTTGAATGTGTGCCGCTGTCAGCATCTATATAGTCTGTAAGCTCCATAAAAAAAAAACATCCACCACCCCCCTCTCCACCTCCTCCCTCCCTCCTTCTCCCTCAGCCATCTGCCTGATACAACCACTACATCCAGCTTGTGTGTCGTCAACTGCTTTTTCCTTTCCTCAATGGAGGGCTAGGAAGCCTCACGAAAAGCTTCTGGATAACTTTCGGCTGCTTCCGTCTTTTGCATCTCTTCCTGCCAACCACCCCCACCCTGCTTTTCATCCACCTCTTTCTTTGCCTTTTCCATCCCTTCTGCTCAGGCAAATATCCCCTGAAACAGATGCCCTTAATTCCTCTGGCCCCACATTATAAGATCTGCCCAATCCTGAGGCAAGAAGGAGGAGTGAGGAATAAGAAAAGCAAAGAAGAAAGCCCACTCTCCTGTTTTCTTTTCACACACATATATAGGAGGAGATAATGGACGGGGAGGGGGGTATTAAACAGCGGCTCACCTCTGAGGAAGGAGCTTTTTAGTGATTTTAGAGGGAGGAGGGGATTCCATGACGTAAACCAGCCAGCAGCATCAATCTCACCCCTCGAGCGCTGACAAAAAAGACATCATGGATATGTAAACCCCCCCCCCCGCCCCTCCTCTGGAACACACCCTGTTTCAGATGCGATTAACCCACATGCCACCAAATTACAAAAAATAACTAAATGACAGGAAGCAAAAATGTAAATAAAAATTCAACCTACCTTTACTGTGGTTGTGTGCTCTCCTTCTGTGAATCCAAATGCAGCCAGTCATGTGGAGTAGTATCCACGCGTTCTGCCTTCTGCTGATCTCTTTCTGTCACACACACACACACACACACACAGAGGCAGCCGATTACATCCACGCTCACAACACACACTCCTCTATCTGTATGCCTTTCGCTCTCTCCCTCTCTCTCTGTGTGTCTACTCCCGCTGAGATCCTCCCTCCTCACTGCTGCTCCGAGTCTCCACCCTTCAGCGAAACGCTCGGGCTCCAAGAATCTCCCCTCCTCTTCATCCTCCCTCCCTCTTTGTGTCTTTTCTTTTCTGCTATTAGGACACACTTCCTCCGCCTCTCAGAGGTCCACAGGAAAAGCCTCGAGTGTCTCTCTAAACAGCTGCAATAAACAGACGCATACCAGGACAGCTGACAGTCTGGATTTAAATCTTGAGAAATTTTAGTGGCACTTTAAAAAAAACATCCTTACTGATGAGGGCTACATAAATTAAAAAAAACAACAACAACAACAAAATCTAACAACATCACATCCTGTATTGCATGCACGACACACGCCTTCTTGCCACAGAGGAAATGTTTAATCATCAGTCTACTTGCATATCACAGCAAAGCCAAAGATCAAAAGATTATAAAAAAAAACATACACCAGATGTGGAGCAAAAACACAAAAAGTGTGCTGTACATTTGGGAGTACAGAGGTTTTCTGCATGTGCTGGATACACTCAATTTGGGCGAGTGTACTAGAAGAAAAAAAGTCAAAAACTGGTTCTTACCCTTAATACTGGCAAACCTAACTGATGTTATCTTGCAAACGCAACAGGCCCCAACAACTGGTTTAAATATGCTGCACTTTGCACCATATCTTGTCACATTATCTTGATGGCGCCATGTTCCATATTATTGTGGGATTGGGACTTTTTTCTCTTTTCTTTTCTGCTATTTGTGCTGCAAAGGCACTTAGCAAACAACTGCCTGATGCGAAAGCCAGATTAATAAACAAGCATGTTAAAATCGGCATTAATGAATAAAACAGCTGTTTCGATTACTATACGCTTGCATTTATCTGATTTCGTTTAAGCTTGTTTTTCCTTGTAATTGGTTAGTGTTGTTATTTTTATGCCTTTCTTTGCCAATCCTGCATTTAACAGCATAACAACCCATCCTAAGTTTCTGAAAAACAACAAAGGGAATGTCTGGCTTTTTAACTAGTAAATATAATACATTAAGTTTTTGTGCCATGTAATTACTTCAGTGTATTCAGAGACAACAGGGAATTAAGGTGATTACAATCTTTACTCATCCAAAAATTTAAATTTAGGCCAGTTTCCTCTGTTCTGTTGAGCCATTAATTGATCTGGCTTGTTTTGGTGCCAGTTGCAACACTCGGTATCTCTTTTCATATATATTGAACCACTTATTCCAACAAACAAACAAATAAACCCCAACAACAACAAAAACATCTTTCAACAGCTGATAAATCAAAATTTACAGAGTAAAGAAGAGACAGGAAAAAAACCCTTTAATCATGATATGAGTTTTCAGAGGTGTGGACTCGAGTCACATGACTTGGACTCGA